TTCCGTTTAGACAAAGACATGCACGCGAATGGCTGATGATTGACTCGCGGGCCGCTTGTGTGCGCACCATCTTTCCAAAGGCGTTGCGAATGTGCGCGAGCTTGCAAATTTGTTGAGCACTCGCAAGCTCTCGTATGCATTCCCCTTCAGCTCGTTCGACTTTGAGACAGACTTGCCCTTCATTGTACTCTCCGCGGGCAAGTCGATGCTTCCCGTCGATGTGCAAGTGCCATTGAGGTCCAAAAACATCGTTGCAGCTCAAGCTGCCCAGCCCACCAGCTCGCAGTTGGCGTCTTGGAGGACCTTCTTGGCTAGAGCAAGGCATGTCGATCTGTCCATACCGGAAAGCGTGGCAGAGGAGATTCAAGCTGAGTTTGTCCAAGCGAGGAAAGAGGGTCAGGAAGGCGTGCGCGAAGGTCAAGAAGATCTCTTGAGAAGAATGGCCGTTGCTAGGTGGGTCAAAGCACTTGCGCTCACATTTCGGGGTGTATCGCTCACACCAGCCTGCGTATCGATGGCACAGATTGGTGGCGATCTCTAGAGGTCAACGAGAAATGAGCTTCGATGCGTGGAAGCAAGCAGTGGCCTTGGATGAGGAACGTCGTTCTCGCATCAAACAGTCTTCACCTGCTACTGCTGCAAGCGCTGCAAATGCATCCTCCACTGCAAGTGTGCTGGGCGGCCCAGCGCTTGGATGAGCAGCCGCCGATCACCTATCATACTGAGCGCCAAGGCTGCACGTATGCATTGTATCAAGTAACGAGGAATTTCGCTTCAATCTATTTTCCATTGCTGTATGCATTGTGCGGTGACATGGTCTATAGTAGAGCGGACTGCGGGCTAGGCACTGAGCGTAGGGACAACGCCTCCGTCGCCCAGGACGCAATACCGAATGAAGAAGTCGTGTAATCTGACATCAGTGGTGAGCTCCGGGTGGAAGCTGGTGGCCATCAATCTTCCCTGCTTAACAGCGACGATCTGACTGTCGTGCGCGGGTCTCGTTCCTCGCACCTCCCCTTGGTGCGCGGTCGCCACTGCTGAATCAACAGTTCGAATCAGAGGAGAGGCGCTGCCAGCTGGCAATGTCGGAAGGCTGCACAAGATCTCCAAGGGCGGTCGAAATACCCTTTCCTGCCCCGGCTTCTCGAGCGGAGGTGCTACCGACAACCTCAGTGTAGGTTCGACAGCTGCACCAGGCACGGCTTGAGCGTTGAGCAGGGGAGGCTGTGCTCCTCCTGCCGTGTCACCAGATGGCGTCAATGGGGCCCGTCCTTGCTCCAACACTACCGCTTCGGCGTGCGCTTCTCCTTCTGCCCGCTTCACCAACGTCGCTGCTTCTGGCGGGACAGCTTGAATGTCTTGAGACAGCAAGAGAGACTCTACCACTGGTGCTCGAATGAAGACGCCGGGAAATGGAGCTGGAAAAGTGTTCATCTCGCTGCTAGTGCTGCTACCATTAGTCTTCCGCGCGCCGAGCTTGGCCAGCGCTGGGATGTCGATAGACTGTTCGAACGACGCGACCTGATGCGGCAAGCGCAGAATCACTCCCATACTGAGCACGCGCTTTTTGTCTGGCTGCACACATGCACCATCGACTTTGTCCATTCTTCGGCTCACCTGACTACCAAATCCATTTCTACCGACTCGCACATCCATGCCTCCAAGCAACTCCTGACCACCTTTCTTGCCCCCAACAGCCTCCCTCGCCAGCAAGATCATGCCTGCACATGTTCCCCAAGCTGGTTTACCACTTCTGACCCACTCTCGCAGTGGACTCAAAAGTCCAGCTCTTTGAGCTCCCAGACTGATAGCTGTCGATTCCCCACCAGGTATGATGATCGCCGAGCACTCTGCTAACTGCTCTGGTGTTCGTACCTGCCGCACTTCCAGCGGTCTGTCGAAGCTGGATGTGGATGAGGTGGAGAGCCGGTTGAGACAAGAGGCATGCTCCGCGTAGGCGCCTTGCAGCGCCAGCACACCAACCACTAGCCCATCTGATCCGTTTGCCGAGCTGGTGAGGCTGCTCATGATAGCGCGGGCTGCAAGCCAGACCTTGCGATCTGTCGCGGGAAGATCGACAGACACCCGCCGATGTGAGTCGCAGAAGTTTGAGCGGAAGGGCTTGACCCTCGCGCAAGCCTTTGGTGGTCAAGGATGATCAAGCAGTAGTCAAGTGTAAGTGCGAGCGGCACTCACTCGCGATTCCAGCGGCCGCACCCTGGGCCCTATATAGCAACGAATCACGTGAATGTGTGGGGTGGTCGTCAGAGAGCGGGTTGTGATTCAAGTAGCTTTGGCGCCGTGTTACAGTCAGAAGAGAGCCACGAATCATTCAGTTGGGCATACATATGCCACCCAAACAGAATCATGCATCGTGAATCTTGCATCTAGAATGAATCGTGGCTCAGAATGACTCCTCTGTCAAATTGTTCTGAATCGTGAATGTGTACACCTCTGTTGAATTCCGACCACAGTCTTGTCACGTGATGGCGAGTCTGGCCAATCTATCTGCTTTATGATCGTGTTTGTGAGCGGATGATCATCATCATCAGCCTTCCGATCTGATCACGACGGTGAATCTGCTGAGTCAGGTCTTCGTTGGAGATTCATGATACGATCGAGTACGCTAGACGATTTGCGATTCTGGATTGGGCACTCCAGACTTCAAGACTCAAACTGCTTGCAATCAGGGACAGCTTCGTGACCAAAGCTGCCGCGAGGTTGCCGCGCGCGAGGCGCTGCTGCGAAGGAAAGGCTCGGCAAGTCCCGACGGTTGAGATGCACGGCTGATTTCTCGGCCGCTCGCATCTCGTCTACTACTGACTTTGGGTTGTGTTGCAGCTGTGCCACGCACTCGCGACTGTGGAGCCAGAATGGCAACGTGCAGATGTTGTGATTGTTGTGGACATAGTCAAGAGTGGAGAGCCATCGCGGAGCGAACACGAAATGCTTCTCTCTACCTATACCTTGACCGTCATCCACCCCTCCCTTCTCCAAGGCTGCACTCGTGACCCATATTCATGATTTGCTTCGGCAAAGCTGGGCTGGACCGAACCATTTGTGAATGTGCCTGCAGCCGGTGTTCAGAGCGCTGCGTGTGGCTTCCTCTGGACACAGCGCTGCTTCTGCATGCAGTCACAGCGTGGGTGCCGCAAACCGTCGCGATTGGTGATGTGTGCATTTTGTACTGTAGCTCCCCGCGTCTCGCCATGCATCGATTTTAGCGCGCCTGCCGATCCGCCGCACCGTAGAATGTTGTTCTTTTCTCCGCCAAGAGCGGCAAGCGTCAAGTCCAGACCTTTCCAGCTTGAGCACCAACATTTCGCACTTCGGAAGTGCTAGCGGAGCTCGAATTTCACTGCCCTCGCCTCCCTTTGAGTGCGCTGACTGCCTCGAGGCTGGAGAACGAGCAGAGCAAAAAGTAGTCATCATCTGCATACCTGAGCAATGTATAGAAGTGAGGTCCTCCGTGTGGCTCAAACCCTGAACTCTACGATCTTTGCCATTCACGTTCTTACTATCATCGTTACGCGCGCTATCCGGATTGCCTACTTTCATCCTTGCCCGTACTGTTGCACTCACGATGTACCGACCAGCTTCCCTACTGTCCGTCCTTGCGGCAGTCGCCGTAGTGCCCACCATCGCCACAAACTGGGGATTGACGACCAAAATCACACCGAACACCTGGAGTCAAAACTTCAACTTCTACAGCGGGCCTGACAATTTCACAAATGGTCTAGTAGTATATCAGAGCGAAGCTGCCGCCAAGAATATGGGCATTGCGGGTGTAGTGAACGGTGAATATAGGATGGCCGTCAGCACTCAAGCTGTGGCGCTGGAAGGACGGCCTAGCGTCAGAGTTGAGAGCAAACAGCGATTTGGGGATGGCGTCTATGTGTGAGTATTTTCGCTCGCCGTCCGGAAACTCGGATGGATACTGACTGACGTGCATGACGTTCGTTGAAAAAAGCCTCAACGTGTCGCACGTTCCCACCGGCTGCTCCACCTGGCCAGCTTTCTGGACAACAACTACGGAGGAGAACGGGAAATGGCCAATCGGAGGCGAGATTGATATCCTTGAGAACGCGAATGACGAATTTACAAGCAACCTGGTCTCTCTTCACACCAAGTCTGACTGTCAAATTCCGGCGAAGATCTCGGGCCAGACAGGAAGCGTCGACTACACCACGTGCTCAGTGTACGTCAATAACAATTCGGGCTGCCGCGTCCGCATGAATGGCGGATCTGCACCTACGTGGGGAGCCTCTTTCAACCGCGCCAAGGGAGGCTTCTTCGCAATGGCGAGGTCGTTCGGATCTACAGGCAAGGGCGTGAGAGTGTGGTACTGGCCAAGGGGCAGTGAGCCTGCGGATCTCAAGGCAAGCTCAAAGACGGTCAACCCTGATGCTTGGGGCAAGCCCGCTGCTTGGTTCAACATTGCCAACTCTTGCCGTTCCGATTTCGGACGTAAGTCGTCATTGCCGAGCATTCACAAAGCCATCATTCGCTGATGAATTCCTCGTCCATCTGTTCCTCCTCGTAAGCGCACAAGATGTAAGCGATGCAAATCTGAAAGGCAAGAGTCGGAATCGGTTCATTGGCTGACATCTCAATTCTCACGCCTCGCCTTTACGTTTCTCAGCGTTTTTGACATCACCTTAGGAGGAGTGAGTGCACCCGTCGCTGACCTTCCACTCTCTTCTGCGCCTGCCACTGACGCTTTGAACGATCTGTGCATCTGCAGGACTGGGCTTTCAATACTTACGTTTCTTCGGGCTGTGCAGCGAAGTATGGGAACCGGCCGATCGTGAGTTCGGACAGCATTGTTGCATGAGCATAGCCAGAACTTAATAATTCAACGGTGATTGCGCGCAAAATTCGATGGAATGCAGACCGACCAAGTGGCTTACAATGGCACTTCATACAACAAAGCCTACTGGAGTGTCGGTGGCGTTCGCGTCTTCGCTACAGGCGGCGGCACCGACAACGCAGCGTGAGTCTCTTCATCGCGGCATGCACCCTCAATTATACATTTCTTTGCTGATTGACTTGTATGTCTCCGTTGTCTTCTCTTGCGCAGGAGCCTGAGCAAGAAACGTTCCGGGGTTGAGCTTCAGCGGGAAGCATGAATGCCAACTATGAACCACGACCTTGCGCGGTCAAGAAACTTTCCGCGCCATGAAATGTGCTGTAAAGCACTGTTCCAAAGCTGCTCGATTCTCTTTATACCTCCTCTGGATTGATGGAAAGCACATTTTGCTTGTACTCGGAAATCACGAATGAAATCGCACGCATGCATCTTTGCACTTCTGAACTCCGTTGTGACCCTCTCCGTGCGAAAGTCACTGACACTTGTGCGGCTGGTTTCCCCTTGCACTCGGGGCTCCACAAGTGTGAGTCAGGATGCTTAGAGTGGCTGCGGCGCCGCTGCGCATCAACAGGAGCAATTTTGGCTGTGCAGTACAATCTTGACTCTACAGCAACATAACGAGGGGCGAGTAGTAGGTATAGCCGGACATAGGATAGGTATCTACACCATCGCGCGCGGGTCAGTCAGGTCTTGGTTTGTCCGCGCGGTAGCGCTCACGTGATCGCTTGAAAGCACTTCTTGACTCAGACTCATGATTCCGTCGTGACGTCTTGAGTCATGAGTCAGAGTCAAGTGATGAGTCGTTCACGAGTGCGTGCACCGCGCGTCAATCAGTCATGAGCCTTGAGTAGAATATGCAGTCAGGCGGACAGACTCACACTCGTGAGTCTATAGCTGAAGTGTGTGAGTGGTTTGGACTCAAGAGAGTCTTGGCTACCCGGTGAGCAGCTGTCATGCTCTTCATTGACTCACCAACCACCAGACGATGAGAGCGCTTAGGTGTGCTCATACTGCGCATACAGTCTCCTCTTCTCGGCGCATCCGCCCACTCTGAGCGAGCTCCCAGCAAAGTAGCAGTGCATCCAAAGATGTCGCTGAGGAATTCCAATTCAGGTCGCAGCTATCCTCCCCGAGCAGGGTCGACTGGGGCATCGACACGCGCATACCCTTCGCGACCTCAGACCTCCGAGAGTCAGCGCAACGGATCTGCTCCGGATGCTGGCGATGATACGCGCAATGGATCAGTCAGGGATCAAAGGGGCTCTGCTTCGGCTGACAGTATACAACAAAGGAGCTCGACATTCGTGCAGCAGCCTAGGGACAGATCCACGCCTGCTGCAGCGTTGTCGCCGCAACTGACGGACCAACAAATCAACAGGGTCACGTACAAGGTGAGCAAATGATTATGATGAAAGTCGCTTACGTGCTCCTGATGTATATCGCCTCTACATCCGTAGAACGCGACTATCAAAGCCCTCATCGATCCTACGCTGCCGGTGGTCGATGTCATCCGCCAATTGTGCGCAAACGCCCATCTAGGGGTGCAAGAGCCCCCTGCCCTCTTCGCCCTACGTGATGAGGAGAATGAGGAGCTCATTGATGATGCAACCCTCGCAAAGAAGATTCGCGCAGGCCGCAACTTGAGGTGAGCGCATGCCTTGCGGACAGCTCGTGGCAGAATCTCTGATGAATGACTTTTGCCCTATGATGTCAGACTGTGTTCTTCGCCCACTATTGAAGCTGTCGAGATGGTTGATAAGCTGTCCACGCGCGAAGAGCGGACCCTCAAGATGGCGACGTATACGCTGCAGCGACTTATAAGGGAACCGCCATTCCTGGAAGAATTCCTCAGGAGAGGTGGAGCGGATGAACTCATTGGTATCACCATGAGCTTGGACAGCGGTAACACTCTAGCCTACGCTTTAGCATGCATGCAGAACTTGATGGAAAGCAGCGACGATGGATGGGATGATCTGGAAGGAAGCTTCATTGCCAAGGTAAGCCGGCTCTAGTCCGGGCTCGAGAGACGAATTGACGCTAATAGCTCGCCCGGGCTGCCCGGTCACACAGGTGGTGCACATTCTCGCAACGCAGGATCGCATCAACGTTTGCAGACCGGCGACAGCGATTCTCAAAAAGCTGGTTCTGTCGGGGCCAGACTCTGCGTCACTACCACGCGAAAGCGTGGCGCGCGGGGAGGGAGAGGACGAAGAAGGCGGTCCACCAGGTGCTGCTAGGGGCCAGGCGGTGTTTCAGTACGGCTTCGAAGTTGTCTATAACGAGATCCGACGGGAGCCAGCCTTTCTCAGCACATTGACGCAGAGACTTGGGAGCGCCGATACAACCCTCTGTCTTTACAGGTGAGCGATAAGGCCCGGCACGCGGGCCTCAAGCACTCACCCATTCTGGCTGGATTTCGCTCTGCAGTCTGAGCCTCATCAACAGTCTTATGCGGCATGCCTCGCCGAGCCTGTTCGAGACATTTACAGCTGAGCTAGACAAGCTCAACGTGTCGAAAGCTGTGACGAGGCTGATGGATTCCACTCGAGGCGAAGAGCTCTCTTCATCCATTCTCGAGTACCAGAACAATGTGATTCGTGTTCTTCATAAACGGCTCAACACTGCAGTTAGCCCCACCAAGCAGCGTCACGCAAGTGCTTTGTCACACATGTGGCTCCAGGCGCAAGTCACCGAGACGGTCAGCAGTGACGATACAGATCCTGACGGCAACAGGTCTCTTCCTGCTGTGCCTGGCAGTGCCGGCAACCGTTTCAAATGGAGGAGACTGGGCTTTGAGACGGAGAACATCAGTAAAGAATTCACGCGCACAGGATGGCTAGGACTGGAATGCTGCGAAAGCTTTGTCAATGGAGATCCGGAAGCCTACGCCAAGGTGGGTTGCTTTGCGAGGTATGCTGGTCGATCACCATCGACTTACTGACAATGAAGCTCCGGGCGAGCGCAACAGATCATTCTGGAGCAAATCAATCGTCCGGCGAACAGGCGTTGTCCTTGGGGTCTCGCGTCACTCGAAGTAGTCGAGATACTCTCCGACCATTACGACGTCGACTCTGGATACACCAGCTCGACAGAGTTCATGCCCTACATTCTGTCCTTTACCAGGGTACACTCGCTATCTTTACGCTTCTTTCTGCGAATGTGGAGCGAGAGCGGTGCAGCGCGATCTGACTTCGCAAGGGTGAGCGCCTTGGTGCGCAGCCAGGTGAAGGAAGCCTTACGGTCGGAAGCATCCAAGACGTGGTTCGAAGTCGAGCGCGACTTCATCGAATCTGACTATCGCCTGGTCAGAGATAGGCAGATGCGAGAGCTGGAAGTTGGCGACGACTTTGCGAGCAAAGCTAGTGTCAGAAATCTTCGTGGAAGGCTGTACCGAGAAAGCTACGAGTTTGTCAGGCAACAGCGCATACAGTGCTTGTTGGAAGGAGCCTGGTTCAAAAGCCCGCCGCAGACAACGAGGAGCAGTGAGCCTCTTAGCTCTGGTCGCGTATCGCGCGCAGGAACGGCTGGAGGAAGTACGAGTCCATACGGCCTTGTAATTGCTAGACCCTGGCGATTCTACAGGCTTAGTCCGAACAAGAAAGTACTGCACTACTGCGAAGCTCTGGAGATTGGGCCCATCCGAAGCGGGCTGGACGACCTCCCTGAGCGCATCGACTTGGGTCTCGTGTCAGAAGTATCGGTCCAGCAACCCACAGGACAGAGCGCTGAAAGTTCTCTAGCCTTCAGTCTGCTGCGCGCTCCTGATGTCAGTCTCGCGGACTTTGTGGCGCTCAATGCGAGCCAGTACAGCGAGTGGGTGGACGGACTGGGCATGCTTCGCGGTGAAGGAGGAGTTGTCAGCACCAAGGAGACTGCCGAATTCATACAGGCGTTGACGGACATCGCCGTCAAGGTCAAACTGCTAGACTTGACGGGAGAGAGGGTGAGTTCGATGATCGCGGGGTGAAGTGGTTTCCGCTCCTGACCTGCGGACGTTTTGCCTTCCACTGTCCACTTCCAGATTGAGATACCACAGTCTTTGCCGCTCGCGCCCTTGCCTGTCACCACCTCATTCTTTTTTGCCGATCTGTAGAATACTGCTTCATTGTGCGAGTCCCACTAAGTGAACACGCAAGGCCCACAGTCATAGTGTGGCGGTAGAGATAGAGACCCCAGCAAAGCTGCTGGTGCGGCGACTTGTGTTTGCCTGCCTATCTGGTTGCATGGCTTGGCGCATGTTCATGCTGTGATTTACAGTAATGATAATGGAACTAGTAGACAGTACTCGTGTACGGTAAACAGTGCGCGATAGTAATCGCCAAGCTTTTGTGGACCTGTGGCGAGATGCTGCGGTCCCGCCGCGATGCCGTGAGCTTTGGCGCGAATCGTCGCAGCTTTATTACGCGTCGTGCAGCGGGGTCAAGAGCTATGCCAGCACCACCCAACACGGCAAAGGGGGCGAGGGCGAGAAGGCGAGATGAATCATGTGGTACTCGATGAGGCCTTGCGTGCTTCTTCGCGAG